AACAAACAGGTACAATCTGCAATAACATATCACTATGGCCACCAACTAATATAGCGAGATATTTATGGCTATCATAAGAAGAAAAGTTTTTACTTCATATATAATGATATATTTTGACTTGGGAGGGTGAACTGTAACAAAATGTATTCATGGAAATAAAATAGGTTAATTTTTGCATTTTTATTTTCATGCTTACAGTTACATATATATTATTAATGCTCAATTAGGCAATGTTACTGTATTACGTAATTTATTACCACATATTCTAAATGAAGAGATCTTATATTTTGAACCTGCTTTCTATGACAATTTTGTCAACTTTAACATCAATAAGTTATATAGTAATAAAAGTGAGATTTAATATCATTTTTAAACATATTCACAGCTGCCTACTTTCTAAAGTTTGCCTTCTTTGCAGCGAACTCTACTATCAAATTGAAATAATCCAAACTTCTTGCCAATTCCTTTTCAATGGAGAGCATAGCCTATCCACTCAACCTCTCTTAAGACATAGTTGTCCTTAGTTTTTAGTAATTTAAGTTTGGAAAACTTTGCTTCCCTGATGCCACTGTGACTGGAATTGTCAACAAAATCCTATATGCTATTTCTTTGTTTGGGAAGGAACCATTAAGAGACTTAAGAAACTGAAGGGCTTGAAGTGCATTTTTTGTTTCTTGGGAATGAGCTTTTGGAGTACACAAAGCTCTGAGAATTGGACTGCATCGTCAGTTTTGTGAGAATTTCCAACACTCAATGAATTGTCTAAAGCCATACATTGCATTTTTTTTAAGTTCTTCAATTCATACAGGAGACTGAAATTACTAATGTACTCATGCATTTGTTTGAATCTTGTTGTCAGTAGCATGAGTGCCTGATCCACAATAACCAGAAAGTGATTTCTTTCAAATGCTTTCTCAAGCAAGTTTTGTGGCTCATCCTCATTTATAGATGGAAGTTGTTTTCTTTTCACTCATTGATCTTTGAATTGAGGTTCAATGTCCATCTCAGATGCTATTTCTGTTGCTGTCATTTTAGTAAAGGTAAATCCAGTGTCCCTGTATTTCTGCAGAAACTCATTCAGTCCCTTTATGTGTTTGATAGCCATATCTAGCTGCATTTCTCAGAGTCAGAGAGGGAATATTCCTTCTTAGCACTTGCCATCTATTACTAGAAGCAGAAAATATATTAGAAAATCACTGTACAACTTCAAAGAATGTCATGGCTTTTTAACTGAAATTTGGCAGATCTCCCAGTACCAGATTTAAGTTTTGGCAGCCACACATAGTAAAAAAGGCTTTGGGGTTTATCTGGAGGATGCATGCCTGTACATCTTGATTCTGACCCTTCATATTTGCACCATTGTCATATCCTTGTCCTCTACAATCATTAATATGGAGGCTGATCCCATCCAGTGCAGCTATGAGAGATTTTGATAGTCTCTGTCCACTTGTTCCCTGAATTGTCAATAAAATTCTCCATTACCTTCACTTCTTTATAAATCACATCAACATAGCACATCACAAAGGACATTTGCTCTTGGTGACTCAGATCAGAGGTACAATCAAGAATGATCACTTTTTCTATGATCTTTTTATTTACCTGCAATGCCAAGTCTCAGATTAGCTCATTTTGAATGCGAGGTCCGAGATAGTTGGTATAGTTTTCTTCATTCTTGATGCATCAGACGTGCTCTTGCATTGTAGGATCAAATTTAACAATTATCTCAATTAATCCCAGAAAATTACCATTGTTAGGATCAGAACATCTTGCACTTGTTCCGTGAAAAGCAGAGTTGTGCTCAGCTAAGTAATGTACAACTGCTGTAATATGTGTCAACACTAATTGCCAGTGTTCCTTTTCTTTGTTTATTTCTTGTAACATGCACTTATCTATTGTCTTCATTGAACAGAATCTTCTGTTCATTTCAATCCACTTTGCCAAGTTTAATAAATGCTCATTAGATAACTCAGAAGATCACATTCTCTCATTTAAATGCTTTCATTCATTACAACCTTAGTTCAATATGTAATCATATAAAAGAAAAAGAAAATACAGTTTGAACAGGAATTGGACAAAAAAAAAAGATTTTAGTGTCAGGGATGCATATCTTACAAAATTATATATATTGAGCTTTTAGAAAGAAGTAATCAAATATTTCTGTATTTAAAGATTTCTTGAATTAGAAGATTATTGTGACTGCCAACACCCATAAAAGCACAAAGCAGTTGTATAGTAACATACTTAAAGTAGCAGTTTTGTAATACAGAGAAAAGTTATTAAAATATCCTATAAATTTTAATTAAGTATTCTGAAATTATTCTCTTTGCAAAACTTTAAAAATATGAACATACATGTTTTTATATAAACCTGTGGTTTGTCTGCTCTTATAAAGTCTCATGATTTGGTGTTAGATTAGCCAGTCTTACACCTATTATGCTATGCATTTGACGCCTGATGTTTCACATATTAATTCCATATTTACAAGGACACTGGCAGAAAATAAATAACCATGCACTTGGAGTGTCTGGGGGGGGGGGGGTCACGTCCCAGAGAGGTTCAGCAGCTGAGCCCCTATAAAAAAGGTGTCAGGGATGAAGCCCCCCGACATTCCATGATTAACCTTTTGTACTTGTTGTTGTCATCTTAATTGTTGTTTTAAAACATAACTACAGATGTGTCTTTGCATATGAGAATTTCTGTGAAAGAGATGTTGAAGTTTATCTATTTTGCTAAGTGATCCAGTTGTCACACCCAAACAGTACTTGAAAGTTATTTATGAATGTAGATAGTTTATATATTTTGAAAGATATCCTATGAGTGGACATACCATCAAGAAAGTTAATGTTGTTTATGGATACAAGGCATGAATGCTTCCATTTCATATTCAGCAGTGATAAGCTTTACAGGTACAATTTGCAACCCAAAGTATGCCAGTGTTTTGAAAGAACTGTCTTTATGATGAAAAGAATACAGGGTGGCCCACATATCACTATTAAATACAAAATGGAGTTAATTTTAGGAAA